AAGGAGGTGAGAATAAAAAAGGAAGAAGCTAATATGGGGGGAGTTGAGGAGAGGCAAAAATGAAGCAAGATGGGAGGATGGGAGGGATGGAGGTTGGGTTAAAATAGATGAAAGGACAGAGTATGACTGAGTGGAGTGAAGAAAAGAGATCAAAATGAGGCAAGGACAAATATTGACAAGCAGGCAGCTGCTGTGGGAATAGAGGTGACAGTTGATCTAAGTGGAATAATGCCTTAATAATGATTTTTCATGGTTTATGTTTGTATTGCTGCTAGTTCCTGGTTCTCCAACAACCTTCATCCTGGACAGTCAATCAGAAACAGAAATTACCCTCCATTGGACGCCTCCTAGCCAGCCGAACGGCGTCCTCATCGGATATCTACTGCAGTACCAGCAGGGTGAGCATAGTTTACATCCTTATACCAAAAGAAAAACATTACTAGACCTATCTAAAATGTTCAGTGAACTTGAGTTTTTAGATGTGGAATCTCAGTAAAAAACATCAATACTGAAAATGAAACCACACAATACATTTCCAATTAGATCAAGAACAACAGAGAAATATCAAAAGCCTCCTAATTAAGCTCATCAGTCAGTCACACATAACAATGTGTCACCCATGATGATGTATATAGGATCAAGAAGTGATTGAGTGTTTTGTTGTGATTTTCTGCGGTCAGTTGTAGCGAGTGATGACAGCCCCATGCAGGTAGAGACAATAGACGACACCAAAGTGACCCATCGCACTGGATCACCACAGCCACTACCGCTTCTACCTTAGGGGGCGCACGTCTGCAGGGGACGGGGAGCCCCTAATGAGGGAGGGTGCCACGACGCTGGATGGAGGTACAAACTGCATTCACACCATTCTTTACCAACAGACACAAAGAGTTCCAGCTGTACTGGTTCAAGAATTAAAATCCTCTTTTTGAATGTCTTGCAGGACCTCCTGCCAACATCAGCCTGTCTGTGGGGGAGAACTCAGTAAACCTCAGCTGGGTGGCCAAGAAAAGGCACAGGAACGTTAGCTTCCAGATCCAATACCATTGAAAAAAAGGGTATAATTAACATATAAGTGCATGTAGGGCTGTGCATCTTCCCTGGTCTCACGATTCAATTACGATTATGATTATCCTGTCTACTATTGGATCCGATCCGCAGTACACTACTCCTGCACCTCCAAAGGCCCATCTCCTCCATAATCGATAAGGCTGAGATATAGCTTGGCATTTGCAAAGAGGAGGCACATGAAATGATACAGCCATTCTTTTTGGTTTTTATGATCACTCTGTGATGCATTTTTCATCACCTCGGCTGTAGCTTCCAAGGTAACCTTCATCATTAACTTGGCATGCTGGGCTCAGGTAGACACTGAGATTTGGTTGTGGTTTCCAGCAAATCTTCATCAGACCTTGAGCAGGATGCAGCTAAATTAGGTGTTAGCTTTTTTTTAATTTTATTTACTGGACAATTGATATTTTAGATAAGCCTGTATGTGTTTGCTCTGCATTACTAGTAATACAAAAAGAGCTTGTGTAGAAGTGCTTTTTACATTTTTCATTCTGTGATTGACATCCCGAAAAAGCTTCAGGGCTACAACTGTTCCTTTGAATGTGACTGTGTTAACAAACAAAGGTGTTAACATCGCTGAATAATTTCCTTCCTCTGTCATAAAAATGGTTTACTTTTTGAAAAACAGAGATGGTGCCACTTTTTCTCCACATTTCTGCCGCAGAAGGCGCCATGACATCATCAAACATAACATCCTCTTACATCCTTAACATCCTACCATTTCGTAGGGGAAGGATTTCACCACTAGCCCTTGCAGCTCTGTTTGAAGGGGTTCAGTGGAGGGGTAGGGCTAAGTGGTAGGGCTAAGGGGTGAAATGGGACTGAGCCCATGTCTCAGAACTAAGGTAAGTGAGAACACTCACACATCACTTGCATTTTTGCACAAGGGTCCCCGAATTAATTAATCTGGGTTTTTACCATAAGCCACAAATGCATTGCATCTGATGTAGTCAATGATCATTGATCTAGCTTATATTTATCTTTATTTTTGACTACTTTCAAATTTGTACTTTTTGAGAAATACATTGTCAAAGTCCATAATAAAGCACTATAATGAGTCTTTTGTTCTGACTGTCCAATGCAATGTTTTAAATTGCCTTTTGTGCTGTGTTTTTCTTAGTTGAAACCAGTCAGCGTTAGAAATGTAAAAAAAAACAAGGATTATCAGGCAACTTGTGAGTAAAATATCCTCTGTCACTTTTCAGGGATCCATTTGGACGATGTGGTGGAGGCACTTGTCTTCTGCGAACACAGGTTGGAAAAGACGATTAGAAGCTGGATAGCATAACAATGTAATTCATACAAATACATTTGTGGCAGTCATTTAAAATTGTTTCAAAAAATAAAGTTTGTTCGATAATATATAAATAAAGCTAACAATTTAAATTGTCTGATTGTCCAGTCCATCCTTCAGCTACACAGAGCAAAACTGCTTCATACAAGATAAGAGGAAATCATACTTATATTTGCTGTTAAAAAAAAGAGACAAATTTAGAACATCGAGAAGGACTCCACAATGGGTACTCTATACAATACAAATAATTTAAACTTTTTCTAATTCACCTCTGGGCTGTCATCCACTGAGGAGGATTCAGAGCGGTTTGAGGATGACAGGGTCTTGCATCTGCTGGCATCCAGCAGGGACACAATGCTGGCAGAGTCAGAGTCTTGGACGCTTTCCGTATCTTCAGCAGTCGCTTCATTTTTTTGGGAATAGAGGAACTCACAGCTAGATGAGTCTGAGTCTGTGTTATTTATTGTACCTGCTGGGATCACGTCTGGTGAATCCTCAGGCAGAGGAACAGAGCTTTCTGAATCTAAACCCAAGGATTGTTGGGATTCAGCAATCGGTGCATCTGTTCTTATATCCTGGGGGCTCGTTTGGGTGCAAAGACTCTGCAAATAAGCCCCCACCATAAACAACAAAGTTTAATGTGTGATGTAATGTGTGTCACCATTTAAAATCATGTATTTATTCATTCCTTACATTTTGACAGGTTTCAAAAAATGAAACATACCAGAGCTGTAACATGCAAATCTTTAACCGGGAAAAAATGTAATACTAAATTATGAACAAACAATGGAAACAAGTCATTTTTGATTACCTGTTTATGTTGAAGATAAACATTTTTAAGTCTTATCCTGTTGTTTGGTGTATTGGGGATCCTTAAATCGTTGCACACATTTCCCCAGAAAGCCTCTTCTCCATATGCGTTTTCTTAGGTGAGCGGGACATTGGCCTCGTCTTTTAGCCCCTGGATACTTGCAAGAATCTCTTCTAAAGTTTTTAAACATTTTCTGGACTATGGAATCAAGAAAAACAAATAGTCATTATTATGTTCTTGTTAGACTTTTTTTTTTAACATATCAAGTATTAAAATAGCACTCACCTTCCCAAATGTTGAGAAAGAAAACAATCTGTGAACAAAGTGAATCAGTAAATCAAAAAGAATGCTTAAAAATGAAATTCTTCATGTTACATTTTGTGAACGAAATGCTGAAGCCTAGTTCCAGTGAATGCAATATTCTTCAGTTGGCCGAAAATAGTCAAAGTATTAACAACATGGTCCAGAAATGATTAGTGAAATTGTGATACTGATAGGCCAAGAAACCTTCATCCACTTAAACACAGACAAAGCGTCAAAGAGATCAAAGAGTCAGACACGTACCTACACAAAGAATCATAAACCTAGAAGGTATACATTAATAAAGGCTAATAATAAACAGCTAGGGTGAGGATTGAGACCATCAACTTTGACATGATTCAAATCAAACTCATCCATAGCAGACACTTTAGTGCATGCACTGGCCAAACAGAATTCCCACAAGTCGAGTAAAAGTTCAAACAACAATAGGCTACATAAGATTATTATGGGCTTATCATTGGGTCAGTGAGTTATGTGACAGCTCACTGGACTTGTTGCAGGAATGCACAGCAGTGCATGAGAACTTTGTTGAAAAAGTTCAATGCCATAAAGCCTAAATAAACAACTTGGATTTTTTTTTTTTTTACATCTTTTCTCGACTCGCGCGGGATGCAGGCATATCAGCCGCAGATGACAACTTCAAAATGTCCTGCTGGTTTTACGTGTAGGACAATAAAGACAGACACAGCATGCATTTGATGACCAGGATAGTTTCCCCTGATCATGTGTCTCATTATTTTCCTTTGATGAATGCAATGGCTTCCCTAAATTTCGGAGCAAGCCTTTGCGTTAAATTTGGCATTCACTTTAGCACCCGCAATGGAGGCCCTATCTTCACACTTAGCTAAATACATTGTAACATGTCTTTCAAAGATATGTAGTATACTGGAAACATTTCATTAATATGTTATGTTGCCTCTATAGGATACAAAAAGACAAGAAATATGTCAGCATTGGTTTTTGAAAAGTGAAAAAAGGTAAGCGTCATCTGCTACTCTGTTGAACATTTACATCAACTATTTAGAATAAACATACCCTTGACGATTTGTCATCATTGATTCCACATTGGTCTCTGAAAAAACCCGGTAGCCTATATGCAAATATTCTACAAACTTGTTGAGAAAATAACTCTCGGCTTCGGCGCAAATCAGCTCCTCAACGCGTCAACAAGGAGAGGACGAGGCGGGTTTATGACTTTAACGCTTTCTGATTGTCAAGGTTAAAATAAGTGTAAAAACAAACTCACACACTCAAAAGCTAAACAGAACATATAGGGTAAAACTGATGTCTATTTAGAAGTTTAATTATTGTTAAAATATAAAATCGTTATAATCAATACACATTTAACGTTGTGGGTTATGATGGCAAATAATAGGTTAAAGGACATGTATTCATGAAGTTAAAGGTAGGCCTATGTAAATGTGTAGAACAATTTTTGATGAATTAACAGTTTTTTGAAAAGGGCCTCAGGGTTTGAGAAAATAACAGGCTATTGTTGGCTATTGTGCTGTATTATCTCAGAAAGTACACAGTACAATTATCTGAATGTACTTATGGAAGATTTTGTTTTTATACAACATCAAAGTCAGAAAAATAAGACTCAACAATATGACATATAATGGACTTTGAAAGTGGATTTCTCAAAAAGTACACAGTAAAAGTATTTCGTAGTACAGGTGCATGTAGTCTAAGAAGTACTAAATCCAACCATATCAGAACCATGGTGTACTTATGTAAGAAAATATATATAATTCAAGAAAACTGTTGTTTTTTTTAAATTGTGAACACCTTATTTTGAAAAACGGAAGTTACCGCAGACTCGCAGAATTATTCTCACACTAACTTCCCCGACCTCCGAAGCTATTCCCTTGGAGCATTTACCATAAAGATCAGAATACGTGGGCACTTCAAATTTAGGGGCGGCTCACTTCACTTCATGTAAAAGCGAGGAGCGGCTGGCTTGACCGCAGTAAAGTTTGTTGGGTTACAGATAGATCCTAGTTTCCTTTTTAACTGATGCTTCCTTTTACTTTCTTAAAATGTACTTTTGTAACAAACAAGTGAATCTTCGTTATCTGTCATGAGTGTATTATAATACAAGTCTGCGTTTAAAGGGCTGACAAATATCAAATATTCGCAGTGTTTGTAGGCAAATAACAAATGAGTGTGAAATACTTCTTTAAATTGGAAAGGGATTTGTGTTGCTATAGTAATTGACGCACATACGCTTCAGGTAAACTCTTGGTATCCAATCCGCAGAGAAGCATGCAAATGAGGCAGGTGTCAACAGGGAGGGACCGAACAGGAAACATTATTTAGAATAAAAGCCCGTGTGCCAGGCGCTGACTTCAACATGTCACTGGAATAATGCTCTGAAAAAAAATCTGTTCTTCAGGTTCACTCAGGGGAAGATGGAACATTTCACAAGTAAGATAAGGACCCCGGGTTGTTGACTGATGGTGAGATCAGATTGCCAGCCTGCTTCAACTTCTCTGAAGATGTAAAAGTTCTTAGTGTAATATGTGATCCTGTGAGTTTTCTGAGAAACGAGAAGAGATACAATGGAGACAAACCTGAGGCTGGAGTCAAGTCTGTGGGTCGATAATAAAAGATACCGGGCTGTCCTGACAGGCTGGCATTTCAACTGGACCGAGTTAGATAAGAAGAATCACGACAAGAAAACAAGTAAGTGTCTCGTTACTGTCCTACACATTAGCCAAATTGCATAAAATACTCATGGCAGGGATCATTTACATTGCTTTGCGTTCAGTCAGCTTGTTTACGTGTTTAAATATCAGAAAAGACAATCACGCATGAACAGAGGGAAATGTTGTCTTCAATCAACGCCACAGTCTCTTTCCTATATCTCGATGTATAAATAATAGACTTCTATCAACAAGATGATACGTTCTTAACCAGTAGGTCAAAACGCCTTAAACTACAATATTTATGTTGGCTACATGTAGGCTTACTGTAAGTTTGGCCTGATAAAGGGAGAGAGCCTTTTAATTGAGCATACTGCTGGCAGAGAACACGAAGAACAAGTCAAACATGAAACACAACTCTCTGAGACAGTTTACTGAAAACACAGACAGAGATCTCACCCACTGGCACAAAGTTATAATGAAGGTTTTGTCTTTATACACAACAACAACAAAAAAGGGCCTTACAACTGTACTCATTTAGAAACCCTGACAATATCATCGCCAAGAAAATGAAATATGTGTTGTATTACACAGGCTTTGTATCACAAATCTCCTCCAGGTATCACAAATCTCCTCCAGGCAGTATCTGTATCTGTAAATCTGTCATTATTAGACGTTCTTTGACATTTTGAACTATCATTAACAGGTGTAATATGGGTAATATGGGCTATAATTTATTGGTGCCAGTGAGTCAGAATTAAAAACAATAATTCAAAACACCCATTTTGACTTGTCCAAGCGCAGTGTTATAGAGAAATAAGCAGCCAAAAGGTATTCTGCTGTCATGTTATTTAACAAGTGTTTACTGGCGTCACATGTTGAAACCAACTGAGAGCTGAGGCGTTGCAGCTATTTGACTAATTTAATATCTATGAAATTTTAGATACATAAGATACACAAGAGGAAAGTCTATAAATGTTTTTTTTTTCCATTGTATGCAAAGAAGCATGTGCACTGAAGTTAGATAGATAGATGGATGGATGGATGGATAGATAGATACTTTATTGATCCCGAGGGAAATTCAAAGCATCCAGTAGCAGGTTACAAAGACGTACATGACATGAAACATTTGTTACAAATTAACCACAAAACCGACGCCCCCCCCTTCCATACATGTATATTAACCCGAAAAGAAAGATTTAAAGATACCCCTAGATGAATCAAACTTAAACCTGTGTAATTAAAAATAGACTTATAAGTTGGTGTTGTGTGTGTCTGTGTGTGATCAAAGTTTCAGTACCTGTGGCGGAGGTGGTTGGAGTGGAGGAGGGCCGGGTGGAGATCCTGCCCCAGAAGTCAGTTGAGGACACAGACAAAGACTTCACTGGTTGGTTCTCTTGTTAGACTCTCTGGTATCACAAACCCAAAGCCACAGTCAGACTTAAGTAAATGATAGCACAATTTGAGGCAGTGCTTATCTTTGCACTTGAATTCAAAGGAGAGGAGAATATGAATAATTGACATACGAGTGAGCCACACAGTAGCCTTACCTTTTAGGAAAACATGATCCTGTTCACTCCTACATTGTTTATGTTGTGGTTCTATCCATCCTTCAACTGCAGTTTTCTACGTGAAGCGTAGCAGCGGTGGGGGCTCTTATGGGTTGCATTGGAGACTGGGAAAGACCCAGTTCAGCTGCTTGAGTCGAGTCCTCAGAGACCAGTGGACGAAACACCTAAGAGCTGCTCTCAAAACTCACAGTAAGGATGGACGATTAGACAAGGTGTTACGCTAAAAAATATAGATCCCTTATCTTGATGATTGTACAATTAATAATGTATATTATTTTCATCTTTTAGGTCCTTTGCGCCCACACAGGCTGTTGGTGTTTATCAACCCTTTTGGAGGGAAGAAGAAAGGAAGAGAGATCTACCACTCTTTAGTTTCCCCTCTGTTTGAGCTGGCTGGTATCAGCTCTCATGTAATAGGTAAAGAGCAATGAACTTTACACAACTGCATTCATCATTTTTGAGAAAAGCTTTCGAGAAACTGTATGTCTCAAAGATGACCTTTGACTTTATTTAAAAGTCATTTATTTTCTTTATGGTATCATTTGATTAGTGACTGAACGGGCAAATCAAGCTAGAGACCACCTCCTGAAGAAAGACCTGACAGGCTTTGACGGGTGAGAGCTGTTGGCACCATAGTGCAAACACTGTGGTATGAGAGCATTGTCACAGATAAGCCTGCTGGGAGGTGCTCGCCTGACAGAAACTCTTGTGTGTGTTTACAACAGTGTGGTGTGTGTGGGTGGGGATGGTATGTTCAGCGAAATACTCCACGGTTTGATTGGGCGGACACAACAAGAGGCAGGCCTTTGTGAGAATGATCCCACTGTCACTCTGCATCCATGTCCGCTGCATATTGGCATCATTCCTGCAGGTAATGATGATGTTATGAAGTAATAATACAACTGATAGTATTTCTTAGCAGTGACAGAAACACAAACACTCACATCCTGCTGTACTGTGTTCACTAGGTTCTACAGACTGTGTGTGTTTTGCCACAGTGGGCGTAATCGATCCTGTTACTTCAGCTTTGCACATTATCATTGGTGAGGAACAATTTTCACTCTTTCAATCACCAAGTTTTTAAATCAACATCACAAGTCCCCGGCACAATTTTGTCAATTTAAGCACCAGTTCATTTTGCATGGCTTTTTTTTTTTTTATTTCCCACCAAACCTTGCAGGTGATTCTCAGCCCCTGGATGTGTCTTCGGTCCATCAAGCTTCTGCACTTGTGCGCTACTCTGTGTCTCTTTTGGGCTATGGCTTCTATGGGGACGTACTGGCTGAGAGTGAAAAACATCGCTGGATGGGACCTCTCCGATACGACTACTCGGGTATGAGTGAGGCTTTGATATAGCAGAAACAGAAATGACTGCAGTAGATGCTTTCAGACTAATGCTCAGTTTGAAGTTTGAATGCTTTTTAAAACTGTCACATATCTTATGTTAAAACATGGACGTCGCTAATTGGTTTCAAAAGTGAGGCCAAAGCAGAAGCAACATGCCTCCTCTTGCAGGGGGCGACTGTAGTTGCAAAGACAAGTTTGATTGTATAAAACCAGTTGAGAATATGAGCCGTCTTATCAGAATGTATTTTACTATATAGAAAGAAAAACCTTATAAGTTACCCTTTAGTCATTAACTGCAAGTCTTCTTCAATGCAGCATTATGTTCATTGGGTAAAATATTTTTCCGTTCAAAGTAAAACTGACAATAAAGCAGGGGATTCTTTAGGGCGTGGCAACGATATAAACGTGTCAACCATCATAGGGATGTCCCTCTTGTGTCGCTACTGACTCCAAAAACACCTAAGTAGCAATGTTTGAAATACTGAACTCATGGCTTCAAAACAGTTATTCACACAACCAATGTGTGTCCAGTTCTTTTATACAGTTTATGCTCATAGCCCAACGAGGCTCGTTAGTGAAAAAAAAAAACATGTCCCTACATGTATTGTTCTTCTAAACTGCTGTTTAAACCTCTATACTGTTGTGAATCATCAGCTCATGTAACTGTTCTCTTTGTGTAGGTACAGTGGTTTACCTGAGCAACAGAAGCTATGGGGGCATAGTTCAGTATCTACCAGCAGACCCGGTGCTCTCCAGTCCCAGAGACAGAACACGCTGCCTTGCAGGGTAAAACACCAATTATTAACATTGAGATTATAATTTTCCTGCATCACAGATATGAGTTAAGATCTTCATTCATGTCCTCGTCCTTGTCTAAACTACCGAAGTATAACAGAAGTCTAACCTTTTGAACATGAAACCGTTTTGATCACAAAGAGAGAAAGTGTCCTCCGGGTAGCATCATTATTTTTTTAAGCAGTGGTGAAATGGTTCAAATTCGCTGTTTGAGACACTGCAACTGCTACCAAGTGCAGAGGGGACTCAGGTGTTGGGTGCCTCTTAAGGAGGGTATAAACAAGGGCATAAGGACACTTGATCTCGATGAAAGGTGAGGTCCTTTTGGAGTTAAGAAAGCCTTGCTCTTTGTCTGAGACTGAGGCTGCCTCTGGCTGTCAGCTAAAGGGTTTATGATGCTCTTATGAATGCAGACTAACTTGTTATTTTACAGAATTCCAATCAGAGTGAAAATTCTTTGTTTTGCACGTGTGTGTGTTTGTATGTTCAGATGCAGTGTGTGCTCAAGAAGCACAGAACGACTTTTCCCCCACTCTTCAGACTCAAGCTCCCTGCACAGCTCTCACTACAGCCACTTCAATAATGACTCTGAAGGTAACAGCATGAAGTCATCCATTCATGCTTCATATGTATTTTAGCTCATTTAGCCGTATGCCTTAAAGAGCCATATTGGCTTGTAACTCTTGTGAATAAAGATACATCTTATTGCAAACTCGTTTTTCGGTTGCACCATATAACTTTTTCTTAATTGGATTGTTTTATTTGCATTCTTGATAGAAGACAAGTAAGTCGACATCATCCAGTATTTCATAAAGAAAAAAGCCAATTGTTGAAAACATGGAGAGATTGGCATCAATTAACATCTCACGACCCTTAAGATATACTATGCATGGTGTAATAACTGCTTTTAGTTCAGCTGTGTCTTTATCTAAAGCACACTGCAGCTCTCTCCAGCTTAAGCCTTTCAATAAGTATGTTTAAAACTCATTCACTTGCAGAGTCTTAAATTTAGATAATAGATCACGATTAGTATACACCATTTTGGTGTATTTAAGTGGAAGCATAAAAATGTATGGCTTAAGGAAGCAATCACAGAATGTAAACACAAACCAATGTTTGAACAATAACCCAAACTAGTTAAGCCAGTTTTGAAATAGGATTTGGCAGTAAAGTTTGCATAAGGGGCTGCTTGATAAACAGCAGCATGGTACTCAAAGAATCATTGATGATTGAAGAAGAAATGAAACATAGAAATGAAACATTCTTTCTCTGTTTCTGTCTCTCCAGGTGACTGGGTAAGTGTGGAGGGAAGGTTCAGGTGTGTGTCTCTCACTTGTATGTCAAGCTCTTGTCCCAAGAGTCCCTTGGGCCTCTCGCCCTCAGCTCACCTTGCAGATGGAACAGGTGACCTCATCCTGGTCTGGGACACCCACCCACTGGGATTCCTCAAGTACCTCTACAGGCACACAAGCTCACAGGACCAGGTAAGGGTAATATTTTGCATCAATTCAATGCTGCTGCTGTAGCACATTGCAACTCTTACTGACTCAATCTCTCTCCTGCTTTGTTTTAGTTTGACCTGCCATTTGTTGAGGTTCACCGAGTTAAGGCAGTCCGTTTCTCTCTTCCCCCTGGCAAAGAGGAGGAGTCATTTGATGAGATTGGAGGACAGAATGATGTGGTTGATGATGAAGAGACAGGCTACATTGAGACTGCAAGCAGGACTGGATCCCAGCAGCACCTGGCAGATGCAGATTTGACAAAGAGGCAAAAAACAGCAAACCCATTTTTGTGCTGTACAGCCTGCAGCAAAGCTCCAGCTGTGTCAGTGTGGAATTGTGACGGAGAACTTCTGCCTTTCACTGAGATCCTCTGCAGGTGAGAGACAGTACAACCATCCATGCTGTGTTTAGGGTAATCTCTGCGGTACTGTTAAAAAGCTTTTTCATGTATCAACAGAAAAAAACTGGTTACTTCTTCACTGAAATGTAATAACATAAAATAAATAAACTTCTTCTCAGGATTCATGGCCAGTTGGTGCGTCTATATGCGAGGGGTATTGAAGACGGAGCAGCCATGCAGGACTACGTTGAAGAAAATGACAAGCATGAAAGGATATCTTACATCAACAGCCTCACATAAATGTTCAAGAAAGTTTGAAAAGAGGCATTTGGAATGTTTGAAAGGAGAGGCTACTTTGTGAAGGAGATTAGCAAGGTTTGTAGTCTCTAATAGCCAAAAAGATCCAAATATTTTTGGAACTTTAACAAGTTTTCTCATCACAGCTAAATCTATTTATTCTTAAAAGAATGTTTGTTTGTTAGAAAAAAAAACTGCTCAATAAAAAAGCACAATTAAAAAACTAAATGACAGTGTTGTGCAGTTTGTTTTTCACTTGAGCATCCAGAAATTAAAACGTTGTGTAAAATCATCACAAGTTAAAACTCAAAATGCAACCTGCTAGAAAAAAGGAGACTGGCATATGGCGATGTATGCTTTATTGTTGCAACTTTTTTTTCCAGTGGCATATCCAAACTCAATTTGATTTGGTGATTTTGCATTTTAGATAAAGATGCACCAATTGTAAAAAATTAGGGCAGACGTTGAAAATAACAATGTTGCCAACGGCTGACTCTGAAACCGATGTTCATTTCATCACTTCTTTGTAATTGTTTGCCTTTTTTTAATTCAGCTAAGGAATGTTATGTATTCAAATTGACTTTAATGGTCACCTCTTTCAACATTTCACTGTAACATGTCTTACAAACTGTATACTGCTCTTTCACAGGGACAGAGTCATCCTCCCACACTGCAGACATTGTATTTCACATTTAACCATGAAAACAAATCAGAGTTGACAGATAACTTCTTCTGTCCAATAAAAAAAAAAACCTCTTTACTGAATCAGCAGTAAGGGAAACTAACTAAGGCCTATGCTTCACAGCTGGTATGGATCACTTACTGATGGGTTCATGCCACATCATTTGCTTATGGGCTGATGTCTGTCATCAGGGCAGATATCAGCAAATACCAATGTTCAAAAAATACATCCTGAATTTAAATATATATCCATTGTTTTTTTGTGGATGCATTGCTTCCTTACTAATAGACTGCATACTGTAAATGTTAATTACGCAACAGATGATAAAACAAACTAAACAGTCCGAGGGAAAAGTCATTTTAACACGCTCTTCTTTGCTGCTCATCACATTGCACTCTTGGCAGGATTGGGATATTGGGTAGAAATATTGTTTGAATTTGTTGACTGGAGGCCGCAACTTAAGAAAAGCACCTGGTGAAGAAAGACATAGGTAACGTCAGCAGTTAAAGGAAATCTGACTAAACTAAATCTTTACTAAAAGTAAACATTTTCATGTATTGAGAGAAATGAACCATTCCAAATGATAGCGACATAAATATACAGTTGATAAATGGTAAAACTTTGCAATAAAGTACACACATTTTGCATAGTTAGTGGGAAACGATTGGGAAACAAACCATTAGGTCACCACTAAGTAATCACTAAGTAATGGGTAGATATGGTACACATGTTTTGCATCGTTAGTGGGAAAAGAATGGGGAACAAACTACTAGGTTACCACTAAGTAACCACTAAGTAATGGGTAGATAGTGAGTACTTCTTCATCACATGTTCTAGAGTAGCTAATGATTAGTTAGTGGGAAATGAATGGGGAGCTAACTAGGTAACCATTAGTTAACAGGTAGATATGGTACACATATTTTGCATAGTGGGATGTGATGTGATGAGGAAGTACTCACTATCTGCCCATTACCTAGTGGTTAGTTTCCCAATTGTTTCCCACTAACTATGCAAAATATTTGTACCTTACTGTAAAGTGTTACCTGATAAACCAGTATAGCTTAAAACACCTACCTAGCAGCCATTCTTAGCAAATGAGGCACATTCAAACGTTTCTCCTTTGTCACCAACTGTTATTAAGGGAGTCACCTAATCTTACAAACCAGACCAACAAGCCCGTATGGTGTGGAAATGTTTCTTTCAGTGTTGTCATATTTTAGTGATGACGGTAATAACAGAGAACAGGTTTATGTTTGTGACATTCAAACAATCTTGTGTATACAGGTTTTCAGGTGTTAGCAGGTGGTGTTAAAAAGGGGGGGAAGGGAGTGAGAAGAGTGAAAGATTTGTTTTTAAATTTCAAATCTTCAGGTGAACACTTAAATCAAGCAGCGAGTCATTTAATCTCCACTTGTAGGTTTTGATTTGTTTGTTTTTTTAAACAGTGGTGTTTTAACATGCAGACAAAATCACTCAATGACACAGCTGAAAAAACTATGCAGTAAACTTTATTTTTTGTAAACTTGCCAACAATAGCGTGTGTTTGTGTGTTTGTGTGTTTGTGTGTTCATGTGCACGTGAGTGTGAGACAGAAGGTATCACATTTTGTGGGGATGCACCCACTTGTATGTCCCCTCATAGCGGAATCCCACCCTCTTCACAAGGTCGTCTGCTTCGTTTGGACCCCGACTGTGGACACAACAAAGAGAAGGCAGGAGAGACAATGAAAATGAAGATGTGCATCATGATTTAATGTTTTTTTTATCTTTTGAAAACAGGTTTTTTACCTTCCATAGGTGTAAGGGATGGGATTCTTCTTCTCTTCCTCTATTTGGTGCAGAAGTGGGGTGAAGATCCTCCAGGCCTCCCGCAGCTCATCACTGGAACAGACAAAGGAGAAGCTGAAGTGAACAAATAAACATTGATACAAAACACCTAGAATACTAAAGTAAGGGTAAACGGGACAACTAACCTGCGCACAAAGTGCATCTGATTTCCACAGAAGACATCCAGGATCAGTCGCTCATAAGCATCTGGGAGCTTCACATTCTAAAGGATGATGTTAAGAAACTGTAAAAACCTGCTCATGTCTGATCCAGAAATCTTTACCCATATTAAAATGGACGGTCTTTATTTTATAATGGATATAATAGGTAGGGTATTCTATTCTATTCTATATTGGACTGTAGAATTTATCGATTAGGTTGCCAACTTTAGATGTTTTTTTTACAAACTGCATTTACCCTTTTCATTACATCGCTTTATTTATTCTTTTTGATAACTTTTTAAGTCTTAGATTTTCAACACTATCAAATGTCAACTTAAAATCAATAGATGACATGTTAAAAGTTAAAAAACACAAACTGCTGCAATTTTCAGAACAGATTCTTTGAGTAACGTGAGCCTGCAGCACCTTGTATCTGCTCTTGTATGTGAGGTCAAGCTCAGTCTCTTCCGGGCTGAAGTAAACCCCCGGCCTCTTGGTCATCATCTTCAGGTAGATTGCTTCGTCTGGCTGCACCCGCACCACCAGCTCGTTTCTCTGGCAGCGCTCGTTAAAGATGTCTCCTGGCACGTCGGTGAACTGCAAACGCACTTCTGCCTTTCGCTCGTTCAGAGCTTTACCACAGCGGAGGATGAAAGGAACCCCTGGAGAAAAAAGGCAGTGGAGTGGGCAGTGACAATAAATAGGAATGAAAAAAATGTCATGATATGTGAAGGAGAAATAAACATAAAAACGTAATTCTGCCCCACCATCCCATCTTTCATTCTGGACATAGAGCACTGCGGTGGCAAATGTTGGTGTGCAGGAGCCTTCCGGTACAGTGGGATCATCAAGGTATCCCAACTTGGAGTGGCCTTCCCCATTTGGGTCCCTCACATACTGACCGAGCACCACATCCGACACAGCAACAGGAGCTATATTCTTCAACACCTTCACCTACAGCACATCAATAATTACAAGATAACAGCAGTTTATTGGCATGGACCCCCTTTAATTCTAGACAAAATAAGTAGGTAGATGTTCACTATTCTAACCCCAAAGTCGAAGATGTTACCTTTTCATCCCTCACATCATCTGGGCTGGTGGAGGCAGGCTTCTCCATGGCAACCAAACAGAGCATCTGCAGGAGATGGTTCTGCATGACATCCCTACATCAATGGAAAAAAACACCATTAAGGCCAAACAAAAGCCTTGTGTAAAAGTGACATTTAATTCAGTGATTTGTCTCTCACCTTATGATGCCAAAGTCATCAAAGTATCCTCCTCGGCCCTGCGTGCCAAAAGGCTCCTTGAAGGTGAGGACCACACATGCAACGCTGTTCCTGTTCCATATGGGTCCAAAGATGCGATTTCCAAACCTGGAAGTGAGAGAATAAAACAAGTTAAACTAAAACCAGGACCACAGAAGCCAGAGATCCAAATTTTTAAGCAATGCTGTTGGAGAAATGCTGCTGTACTGAATATCAGCATGTCTGTGATGATCTACACTTGGCCTGTATCTTCCCTGCTTTAAACAAATCCAAGCTGCAGTGTGGTCCAGTATTCAGGACAATATTGTGTGGTATATTGTGTGATATTGCTTTTATACAACAGTTTTCCAAGCATCGTATAAAAGTCTACAACAAAACGTAACTAAAGAAAATTAGTTTGTTCATTAAATGATTAATCTTCTCCGCCAATCAGTTAGTCTTTCAACTTGACGGGAACTAGACTATTGTCCTATAGCAACAAATAAACAGTTCCCTCTGTTTGTACTAATTTGTGTGTGTCAACAAATGAATGCAGACCAGCTTCTTTATTTTGTATTTTACATTATTTACAGATATACACATTTAACTGTATGTTTTATTTATCATCTCGCTATTGAAACAGGAGTCTATTGACAGCTGCTTTGGCTATCATACCCTTAATTGTTTAATGTAGAACAGTCTGCTACAAAGTGTGTTCAGAACACCGACAGCAGAGGGATTCATATGGTTAAGTCCCAGTGGTGTTGTCCTCTATATCAACATCCATGGCATGCTACCTGTCCAATCAGATTATTTGGTAATAACTAATTGTTGCCTTTTCTATGGATCTTGTTACCTGAGTACCATGAGGTTCTGGACCATCTCTTTACCCAGGTAGTGGTCTATGCGGTAGATTTGGTCCTCCACGAACAGGGCGGACAGGTGGGCTGACAGCTCCTGTGAGCTCTGGAGGTCCCGGCCAAAGGGTTTCTCAACAATCACCCTGTTCCAGCCTCTGTTTTTGAACATAGCTGATTAGAGTCACATGATCGAACAGCAAGTACAATACTTCTTCTGTGAACTTGAGAGAACAACAAACTGACTTGCGACCCATGCAGTGGGCTCTGATGTTTGTGCTGACATGGTGGTAGACAGTGGGGGGCAGAGCCAGGTAGAAGAGCCTGTTGGCATCCACTCCCCCTGGCAGAGATGACAGATGAACCTCAAGCTGCGCGAAGGAGCTGTTGTCGTCATACCGGCCTCTGAGGTATGAGTTCTTACTAAAGAAGGCTGAGAGGCTCTCGGTCTCTTCATCAGTGACCTGAGGGAAATGTTAGAAAATTATTCCTGAAAACACCTCCCAAACAATAAGTCATCTTATGTCACAGAGCCAATTTGTTCTACTTTCAGATGAGGCAGACATGCTGTCTTGATGTCTTCAATGGTCAGGTTAGATCGAGCAAAACCCACAAAGTAGGTGTCATCTGGGAGGAGCCCATCTCTGAATAACCACCTATAGAGGAGACAATTAGTCAGCAGTAATACCAAGTGACTAAACAACTTTAGAGTAATGACTCAGACATAACTTGGTGTTTTACTCACCATAAAGTTGGATAGATCTTCTTTTTAGCAAGATCCCCCTGTGCAAACAATACAAATCAAATAGAGATATGATCAGTAACTTCATCTGATAATTCCTTTCGCTGCCATGAATCAATCAAGAGTCCAAAGAGCACTGGACTTTAAAAACAAGTGGTCACAGCCGAGTAGAGTGAGTAGGTCTGTTGAGTAATGTGAGAACTTTGAACACAGGACTCTGAGACTTAGAGTAATGTTAAAAAGTAACTTGATTTAGCATACAAATAGATTTTGCGACTTGTGCTGGGATTGAGGGAAAGAAGAATAACAGCCTCACACAGTATGTGTATGCTCCAAAATGATCCCCTTCTTTCAATGTGAGGTAAAGGAAAAAGTAGATGCAGCACATTTCAGACAACACGGAATTCCCATTATGTTTAACACATTGCAATATCCCCCAGTGAGTTGTTGCCCTGTGGGGTTTTTTTGGGAACTCTGTTGGGATCCTGTCACATTGAAGTCCGTTTTAAACATTCAACTTTGCTGGTAGTACTTTTATGCAGATGGGAATGAGATTGATTGACTTGAACTTAGCAAACAGGATAGTTAATATCTTTACTCTACTAACTTGACATGTAGAACGGATCAAATATTACTACAAATCTTCAATTCTGTTGGAGATAAGTGTTATCACTTATAATTTTAGACATAGGAAACTGTTATTCATGCCATGCTGTGTGCTTTTCATAGGCTGTACTCACAGAGGCTCCGAGGATGATGAATATGTGTGTGCTGGATTGGCTGGACTGCCGCTCTCCATAGAGCTCCCTCCTGAGCTGTCCAAACACCTCAGAACGACTCAGAGGCTCAGTGCTCATCTTCTGGTCCATTTGGTCTCACTCTGTCCCTCTTGTTGACACTCTCATTTCCCTATTTCTAGTACACACAGTATTGTGAAATGTCAACAGTCATCCTTGCCTTGCAAAAATGCCTAAGCAAGTTTATACTGCCACCTATTGTTCCAAAGAACAAACACATTCAATTCAATGCTTCCCATGCTTTGTAACAACCTCCAGTCCAGCATGTTAGATTTACAGGGCGACTCCAGGCTTTAAATTAAATCTGCGCATTCCACCTGCAGATTAGGTTTGGCAATTTAGGAGAAATCCTGCTCATTCACTTTTACTCACATTTCAGGTCGGCACAGACAGGGCTGAAAGTAAGTACTTGGCAGGAATGTGTCCTTCTCCTAAACCACTCCTTTAACAAAGGTTGCGCAAACATTTACATAGTTCCTTCAATCTGAGCAAGACGTGTGGCTTTTTGCAGAGTGAGAAAGTGCTTATCAGCACATTAACCCTGGCAGTGCAATTTGCAGAAGTTATAAAAATGTCAGTGTTTCGAATGTTTTAATATCTGTAGCATCAGTAAGCACAGCGTCTACAGTCTAAGTCAGGGGTGCCCAACCTTTTTTGAACCAAGATCTACTTTTAAAGTTACCAGTCTGCCGAGATCTACCAGTCCACATAGTGAGCCATAGCCTTTACCAACAGCCTACAAACGCATTTAATACTCACACAACAAACAGAAAATAATAAGAGTTCTGTAAAAAATAATGCAATATCGACACACTTTTTTTTAAACTCTTATTTTAGGGTAGGCTACAATTTAATATCAAGTTTGTATTTATATCACATATGTTTTCCCCTTAATTTAGTTTACAACAAACAACTTTAATCTGTGTGGAGATGTTCACAGACTACAGCAGGCTGCTGTGAGATGATGTTGCTTTTGTTAAATTAGCTGCAGACACGGTGAGAGTGAACGGAGTGAAGTCCAACCGACTGTTTGACCGGGTCACGTGTGTTCCCGCCTCGGTCCGTACGGATCACGGATCAACTGTGTGCTGTAGCACTAAAAGTAAAAAGTAAAAAGGTTCGCGTGGTGGCTGGCGCTCCAGTGCAAGTGTGTGCGTGTGCGTGTGCGTTGTATGTTGTTGTGTCTCAGCGTGCCCCGCGATGCTCACAGTCATGACAGCAGAGAGGAGCAGAGAAAAGTAGCTGCAGCTTCAACAAATGCGCTTAATACTCGTGGCATAGTTTCTATATATGACTTTTTGGTAAAACATTTACCCCCCCGGTTTTACCTGCACGTCATTGCGCATGCCTGCACTCTCTCTTGCGCGCGCTCGCTCTCTCATGCACGCAGCAATTTCACGAATAAATGAAAAATTTATTCGTGAAAACAGGTCGGAAGTATACTTGGCTCCCTAAACAGGTATCGTGTGTGGGAAAAACTGCAATGAGATGAAATTGAAATCACTTTTCTATTTTACAATTGTATTTTATATTGACTAAACATCTCGCGATCGACTGTTTGGGCACCCCTGGTCTAAGTTAATCATTCTTTCAGGATGTTGTACACTAGGTAAATCAGTACACACCTTTACTTAATTAAATAAGACACACACAGTACACACGTGGACCAGAATGATTTAATCAGGACCAAAAATCTAAGCACATGGTGCAAACTGATATGTATCAGTGTTTAATACAAAAGCCAGTCAATTCTGATTCCCTCTTAATACATACTGTGTTAAGAAATTACTTCAATTTTATAAATTATCATGTCTTCCACAAAGTATTATTAAAATAACTATTTCACATCATGTCACATTTCAGCATGTCAGACAAAAACAGTCACAGTCAAACAGCATTTTATGTAAGCCGGAGTGTCAATTCCCTGAATTAAGATCATTGCAAGCAGAAAGTGATCCACCATCAAGCTGTCCCTCCTGGGTGTTAAATAAACAAGCCGCCTGTTAGTCCCCAAAACACCATTAAATGTCTTCTCCCCAGTTTACTTCATGAAAAAATATAAAACAATTTAAGGCCAACCCAAGCGTCTTCGATAGATGTGACTGTCTTCTCTCTGTCCTTCGTCTTCATCTGTCCACTCAGCATAGACCATCAACCTGAGCTCCACAGTATGACGCCGCCTGGATCAATGCTGTGTCAGCCCTGCAGAGCAGAGTCTGAGGAAGGTGCATTAGGTGCCACAGGTCACCTGATTAGAGGTCAACTTAAGCTCCAGTGCTGGTAGAGGTTAGCCGCGTCACAGTTGTCCATTTGGATCTGGCCTCCTTTAAGTTGTAAACATTTTCCACTACTGGGATTCTTAAGAAGATTTTCCTGCAAAGTAGGATAAGACAAAAAGTCAATTAACACACACACCTGAATATAAACAAACAGAATAACACTTCCTCTAATTATCTAACAGCTCAATACTAAACAAAAACATTTTATGTTTTTGAGCAAAAGCGCTTGCACTGCTGTCCTTACTGCAAAAGCTGGTTAGCTTAGCTTAGGATATGGACCAGGAGCAGAGATAATAGCTCACCATTTCCTGTCCTATAATATATAGCAAAGATATATAATAATGTTAATTTTCTCGACTCACAACAAAGTAAAGAGAAGCATAATTCCCCCAAAAGTTCTTAATTTTACATTCAGTCCAGCCTGTAGTGCTCCTCACCTCTGTAAACATGAACTCCTGTTCTGGTGACAAACTGGTGCCCTTCCCTTTCCGTTTGCAGAGCTCGATCTTGACCTGCTCAGGATAAGGTGATGCATGAAGACACAACTGCTTGCCAATATTATGACGTAGCTCCTTATGAGACGTGTACTCAAAGTACTAGAAAAAGAAAAAAAAATCATCCAATCAGAAATTCTGACAATGTCAGAGAACGTGATATAAGCGTCATTTTTTAAATTCCATATGTGTAAGTCATGGTTAGTGTACCTGGTTGCCTCCCATGTTGTGACACTGATACATGATCACAGGTTTACCTCCCTGGTTGTCGCCTCCTACATCCAGACATGTATTAGATCCTGCGTTTCTCAGCTTTACCAAAGACAGACACGACACATCATTAAAATACATCCGCAGTCATGTGAGGGGAGTAATATCTTTCTTTTTCTACATTTAGACAAAGGGAAATGTGACTCACTGCTCCATGTTGCACTGGGTTTAAATCTGGTATGTAGGCTTCTGGGTAGATATTCTGCAAGTACCAGGTGAAGTTCTTGCACTTAAGCCTCTCCCTCAGATTCAGACGATCAGAGATGTCTCCATACTTTTGCTAAAAGAATGGATGATCTGTATTTAAAACTATGAACAATACCTCACATGATGATTATATAAACGTGTTGCAGTGAGGGAGGCAAACTGCTGCCAAAGATACAGTGGGAATGCAGTGATAAAAGTCAATGCATTCAACATCTGATCATGAGCACTCCCCGTCAGCGGGTCACACTGACCATTTGGGCCATGGTTTCAGCATTCTTGTTGCGGCGATAATAAATTTTCTTGTAGTCATCCATCCAGACCTCAGCCAGGCGAACCAGGTTGCGAGTGATGACCTCTACGCCATTGGGGAAGGTATGGGGGCTCTTGGTGCGGAAAACATGTCCGACCACAGAACATGGGAGGATCTCGAGCTGACCCCCACACTGCCACACCTGCAAAACACATTTAAAACATGGAGAAATGAAGGCTCTAACTTCCTAATGACAAGAAGATTTATAAGATAATAGGTGGAGCTTAGGGAGCATAGATAAAGAGACAAACCCTGAAAGACATCTCCAGATTTTCACCACCCCAGATCTCCATCTTGTCATCATAAGTTCCAATGTGCTCAAAGTACTTCTTTGAGATCGAGAAGAGACCTCCAGCAAAAGTAGGTGTTCTGAAATAATCACAGCCAGAAAAAAAAAAAAATCCATGATGTGATTCATGATGTTCTCATAGGCATAATCAAAAAGATCTCTCTTACTTTACGGGGTAAGTTTCATCCTTGCGCAGCTTCCCTGCATATTCAGGGATTGGCTCCCAGCCGAAGGTGAGGCTCCAGTCAAAGTTGCCACGGTTGTAAGCGCGGCTAGTGGCGACAGGCTTGTGGAAGTTAAAACTGTTGAGGTCAATGGAGGTAATTTCAGGACTAACCACAGCAGTAGGCTCCTCAACAATGCGGACTAACAGAGGTTCAAGCCAACCGTGGAAACACTCACCTACACAGGGACAGAGATCAGATGTTGACACTTAAGTTAACTTAACTTCACACTGCAAGCCTTAATGCTCAATTCTGATTTTATTGCTCAGATCAGATTTTTTTTTTGGGCTGTTCAAATTGCTTATGAAATGCGACATGTTTCACATTCCTGTGGGAATACAAATCTGATTTTAAAATAACAGACTCAATGTGATATGTGCTGTTCAAACAGTCAAAAAAAACAGATCTGAGAACAGATTCAGGTGACACTGGTTTTGGATGCAGTGTTAACACAGCCTTAGTCTGGGGCAACGCATGGCCTCATGAATAAGTTGGTCTTACATCAAAATTAGCTGAAATTATTATTTGGTCCTTTTTGAGACACACAGGTACTTCAAATTGTAATTGTGTATTTGTTGGTGTGTTTGTTTTCTTACAGTGTGCATCCAGAAAGGTTAGCACCTCGCCCTGAGCAATACTGGCACCCAGCAATCTGGCAGTGATGAGACCCTTCCTCTGGGGCTGCCTCACTACCTTCACAATCTTCAGCTGACGCACATATTCCTCCAACGGGTCCTTGAGGTGGTCTGAAGAAGTTTAAACAACATAATTCAATTTTGCTCATTCTTAATTTAAAACATGTTTGAATAAAAATGTTGCCTTAGGTGAGCTGTGGTGGTTTGAGGTCTTACAGTGTTGTATCATGTAAGAGTGTAATCAGGATACACCATGACATCTATCAATCTACAACAACGCACACACTCAACGCCTGATATGGTCAGAGATACAAAAGACCAACAATAGCGACCTGTTAAAAACTTGTTTTCTGACTGTCATTTTAAAGCAGAAGCTTGCTTGCCCATTGAAGAAAAAAGAGAAGGATATTCATGTTTATAACTATGACGCTACTAAGATAAGAAACAGCAACGAGGTTGCTCGTAAAACTAGGTCACACTTCCTTTCAACAAGCTTTTGACCTCATGCTGTACATTTGTGACAAGTTTCAGTCTTAAAGAATCCACCAACTTTAAATGTTATAAAAGCTTGTTCCTGTGGTTGCAAAAAAAGGAAGTTTGGGTTTAGTGGCCCATGTAAATATAGCGGAGGCAAAAAGCAAGAAATACTTAATTATGTAGCTGCTGTACAGCGATACAGACATTAGAAATGTTACCACACATCAAAGTTGAACTGTTTGCATAGTAAAACAAGTTCCTATGCAAAATATAACGAAGCTGCACATTTACTTCAAAGATAAAATCACTGTAGTTTGCATTTCACCTGAGGACAACCATACCTGCCTATAGTAAGAGACACATTATTACTATTACTGTTATTTTATGTGTCACTGCACACCACACCCAAGTGTCTTTTGCAGTTTCAAAGACCCAACATGCCTTTTACTTCACTTATTTGTGTGCAAGCTACTTTGAATGCAAAAGTATCATCATTCTAAGATATCTTATTAAGGCTCAGGGTTAACAGGGAATGTCGTGCGTGAAATTTAAGTTAATATATCACTTATATTACTTAAGTGCAGACATGATTTGTGATGTACTTCCCTGTAAAAGTCCAACCAGTGCTTTTTGGTGATTATCTAGTTCATGTTGAAAAAGTTATCTTACTCTGCTTTTTTAAAATGTTTTTTTTTTTCACAACACTTTACTAGTTTATAACTAGAACATGTGCTCATACTTTTCATTATTTATCTGCTTGTCAGTACAACATGAAGAGATTAGATTTTGTGTTTTTAGCACATCAAAAATCATTTTCAAAAACAAGTACAGAAAAATATGAATTAATTTATCAAATTTGGTTTGCATTTCTGCTATTCCTCACAAATTAATCTCCAATAGTTAGGCATAGGCTACGACAGACATATCTACCTACTTTACTGATCTGTGAAATATTTAATTACATTTATATGTTTTTTTATTAGTGTTTATAATTTCACACCTGCAACACTGGCATCATCGACCATGATGATCTCTTTGAGAAGGAAAGCAGGGGATGTGTGCAGGACGCTGTATACAGTCCTGAGGAGGGTGGACCAAGCCTCATTGTGGAAGACAATAATAACACTGGTGGTCGGCAGTGGAGGACAGCGAGGAAACTTCCTGTTTACACACCTGAAAATGTTAAAAAAGCAAACGTGATGAAACACAGGTGGTCTTGTGGAAACATGTCTAAAAGACCTCTCCTGATACTCATGTTCCGCAAAGAAAAATTAACAATAGCAAATTGTGCAAACAGCTCAAAACAAACAGCTTATTTAAAAAAAGCCCCATGAAAACAGATTGCTCAAAGCCTTAAAGCCTGTGACATGGACAACATTAATAGTCAATTAAAGTTTTTACAACAACACAGATAGAGCCTTAGTCTCAAAAATCAAAGATATGGAAATGTGCAAAGTGCTGTGTCCAATAAATATTTGGGGTAATCTTTCAGATTTTGAATCAGTGATTTTCCACGAGTCACTGATTCCATTCCCTTCAATCCATTCAGAGCATGACCCCCGGCTGAGTCGTAGGGTATCAGCTGGCCTGACGTGTACATATCAGCACACTTGTGGTAAAACAGTGATAAGTCTAAGAATAATTTCGGAATGTTTGCTTACTCTGGAGGCCTTGTGTCATCCCCTAGACTGCGGCTGAGCGATATGCGGTCGCTGGCAAACTGGTTGAAACAGTGCCGTGTCATTCCCTCGGCTTTTTCCTTCTCCTCCTCTGGAGACATATGGCTTTTAGGAAATCCCTTCCCATCAGCCCCAGGGGCGTTGGGGTCCTGGGGTGGTCTCTCCAGGTGAGGTCGAAGCTCAGACTGGGTGAAGAATCCAGCAGGGCAGTTGACGTCCTCGGTGGGCTGGGACTCCACTGGTTGAGGCTCAGGAGCTCCGATCTGGAACCCAATGTTGTTCACAGCATCTCGCACCATGACCATCACCTTGTCCCTCTTGACAACAAGCTCTTGAAACCAGGGGTCGCCAGTCGGTGAAGGGCCGACATCCCTCTGGAGAACAACGACGGCCACCATGAAGAGAGTCCCCGCAAGGAGCACTAGCTTCAGAGGGGACATTCGTCGACGTAAAAACCAACGCATGATCCAGAGTAAGTGTTTTTCTCAAAGCTGCTGAAAACAGAAAATAAAACTACTTAATCCACTTTGGCTGTCTGCAAATGTTTGTTCATTTTACATGAGGGTTTCAAGCAATCTCTGAAGAACACTTTTATCAAATCCTTACCCCCAGTCACAAAAATAAAATCCTGTTTGTGTGTCTCTGCAAGTGTCATAGCAGCAGGTACTCAAGCCAACTTAGCTCCTCCCTCCCCGTCTCTTTAGGAAACAGTCCCATAGGGTTGGAGATAACAGGATGAGGTTGTGCAAAAACACACCACACCTTTAAGTAAACACCTGAGTTCACCTGCTCTGGCCAGTCCTCCAGGACCCACGTGGCAACAGGTGCACTGTGACACGACAGGTTCAACCTGCATCTCCCACACAGGTTAATAATTGACACACACGCACCACCCTGTATCCACACCTGCTTTATACACACCTCACACAAATGAGCATCTGTTAATGGAATGGGAGTTTGCATTGTGGAGTCTGACACGTCAACCAGTGTTAGGCATTATTAAGCGGCTGTTTCCTGCTATGTGAAACAGGATATTCTAGTAATGTGGGACATCTGCATGTCCCTAGGTGATCACTGTTCAGTACGAGACTCACTCTTACTTGGTCATAATTAATTCACCCTATTCTCAAGCCAGCCTCCTTCATTAGTGATTCAACAGGACACTCTTTTTTGTGTTTCAGAACACAGAACAAGTTTTCTCTAAAGGATAACCAGTTAGTCCAGTTTGTCATTGTAAGCTATGACAGAAAAGGAGGTGGAAAAATATCTAACCAGGCAACTTAAAAACTATGTAAATCTTATTGACTCATAGATTTGAAATTATCTGATATTAGAAAGAGTAGGCTACTGTCAAGATCTGCTCTATTTTAACTAATTTATAAATAAATACTTATAAATAAATGTGACGTCATTGCCAAAATACTTAAGCCTAATGTTCCATATTGCCTTTAGTAAAATATATAGGACAAGCGGCGTTTCATAAACAGACTTGATATTTACAAATGATATTTACAGCTCAAAGTAACTTGACGTAGACACATTCTACCATAAAAAGAAATCATGATATAAACTCGTTCAGCGAGACGATTTACAGCAGAAAAACGAAAGAGGAAGAGCTGACTTTTTGTCATTCAGCGTGTGGTCTCATTCAAAGTCGAAACAACACATGCAAATGTCACTTTTTTCGCGGATGAATAAAACCGGCCAGTCTCCAACACGACAGAGGGAATCTACTAAAACTTAATATTAAAAAGGCCTTTATGACTCCAAAAGCTGCCACTTACCTTTACACTGACGAGAAGTTGACGCTTACACCTGTTCCGGTTGTTGTGATATTCTTTTTATGTGTGAAAAGTTCCTCAGTGAGCACAGTGCGGTTTATCTAGTTGATTGAAGTTGATAGACTGGAGATTGTAACAATACAGAAGACAGCAGTTCCGTTGCCTCCCGGCTTTTTGCTTTGAAACGTACAGGTGTCATTGGTTGAAATGATTAGCTGGAGTCCCCTGCTGGTCGCGCGTGCACCCAGAGTTTTCTCAAGAAGTACGTTAAAACCATAAAACAGAGCACGAGTATTTGATTGTCATACAGTACGGAATAAATGAACAATATATGTTTGAAAACTGATTTTTTTTTTTTTTTATAAACTAGCAAGAAAACGAAACAATAATAAAAAAAAAATCGAATAAAAAATAGATATAAATTCGGGTAATATTATTAGATATTGTAGGCCTGCTAAGATCTCGCTACTGCTAAAGAATGAGCAAAAGTAGTCTATGATAGGCTATATAAACACCTGAGTAGTTGTTTTTTTAAGTTACAGTTTAAGGAAACATTAGGCTTACCCAGTAAGTGCTTTTTCATCAGGGATTAGAAGGAATTTATGTCGCTTAATTAATGTTCAGCATAGAGTGCTGTTAGTGAACATAGCCATTACCTCAACAGAAATTAATTATGAATGAGCAAGCAATTAAATACTCTCGTGTATAAGCGTCTTGTAACTGTATACTGTTTTATTCTGAAAGGGAGAAGGAGGCGTGTCTCAGCTTACTGTCACAGGGAGAAATCTTGGTTGCGGGCTGCTGATTGACATGCATGCTAAATTAAATCCTGACTAAAAATGCACCTTTAAAAAGGCTAGAGGGTTTGTAAAAAAAACCATAGACCATTCCTACAACAGCAATACTCCTTTTTTCCTTTAACATGTATCACTGTCAATACACGTTTATAAGAGCAAATTAAGGAAAGGTGGTGGTCTGTAGCTCCTTGGAAAAATCTTCTACATCAATCATGATATGTGAGAGAATTATGGTAGAGGAATAATAAACCAAATAAACGCAATCAGTGCAAAATGGCCATTTATTAATTTCTGATCAAAAGGGGAATGAATCAACAATTGCGCTTACTACGACATTTTAAAGTAAAATGCAACAGTGTTAAGTTGAACCTTCACTTTAATTAAGGAAGGAAAGGGATAAGTAAAAGTGAGCATTGTTTTTCTACAGCCCAGAGAGGCTGCATTTTAGCCTCATACAGAAAAGTTAGCAGATCAACACCCGGTGTAAAACCAATCTCGTTATAAAAACACCTTCACTTTTCATCAAATATGATGTCCAATCAATTTGGCCACAAGTAAAACAATAAAACTCTGTATTCAGTACCAAAGGCAATTTATAGAATGGGTTTCTTCAGTAGTAGCTTCATTGTGGACAAAAGTATATATTGTTACATTCATGTGGTTATTGTTTTGAACTCTTACTTTGGGAGTTACAAACCTCCATGTGCCACACACAACCATAAAGGATCAAATACTGTTGTGTAAAGATGTGAATATTGGTCCAGAAAGTATGGGGACCTTAGAACTGCATAATCTCAAGGCAATATGTGTGAGCTGAAGGAGAATCCTACTACCAGAAACCAGTTTACGTCCACACGTTGTAACATAATCCAAAATATTCATTTCAAAGGCTAACGCATCTTTAGGTTGGAATGAATTTTTTTCAAAATTACAGTCCATCAAAGGCGCTGTAGATATAATTCTCTTCATTTTGACACAAGAAATCAGGAATGGTCACACAACTCTGAAGAAATAATATAAAACATGCTTTGCAGCAACCGGTTTGGCAAGAAAGCATTGTCGTACAGTATCATAAAAACCTCACAGTGAAAAGTTACAGTTCACGTAACCAGATGCTAATATTTATCTATGAGGGGGTATCCTTACAGATACAGATCAGCATCTGGCTACGTGTGTACACACCCACACACACACACAATCAGAAACACACACCCAAACACCCATACAAACAGTCTACTAGCACACACATTTAGAAAACATGTCATAACAGTTAAACAATCTCTCTTCAGTACCGTGATTCTAATGCAACATACCTTCCTTCATTTCATACTTCTTGTTTATGGCTGGAACCAAAAACAACATTATAGGGAGCAGGTGATCACTCGTACATTTCAGTGAACCACAAACAACCTCACGCCTGGCATGTGTCTAATCACAGGCTGGAAGAAACAAAAAAAAAGGCCCTGATAAGAAACAAGACACTCCAAGCCAAGGTTATTTGAGGGTTTTCTACCTGCGTATGTGTGCATGTGCCTGTGTTCTCCTTCATAAGTTCACAAAAATAAAAAGTGTTCATAACTATCACCGACAGTGATATTGCCGTGGCCTTTATTGTAAAAGATGAATAAATTACTTAAGGACACTGTACTTTGAACAGAATCACTGGTGTTTGTATCATATCAAACATTTGTTCTTTGGTCATTTTCTCTCATGTTGTCCTTGCATATTTTCTTATAAGTAACGCGTTTTGCTGATATATAGATTTTTTTTGTACAAGGTCATAGCAAAAATCCATCTGCACAAAAATAAATAAAGACTCCAGAGGAAATACTTGTACTATTGCTCATAAACACAAGCATAGCCACTTCTGTTCTAAGGCAACTGGGCTTCATGATCTCTTGAGCAGCTTGGGAAAAAGCCTTCACAACGTTACATGTGACATCATACACATGGGCCCAGCTCGTGTTGGCTGGCCTGTCTCCTCCTCTCCCACTTTACTGTGCTGCGGCGCTCAAAGTCGGGCTGACCACTCAGTGTCTATGCAGTCTCTGTCTTGTCAGTACAATGGGAGTCGCACTGCGGTCGACCTCTGGGTGTTAACTGCCCGGGGGGCCGCTGGTGAGGAAGTAAGTGGTCATCTCCCCCTTCCCCTTCACCTTGACAACACCTCGACAGTCGAGCTGGTATCCATTGTTGACCAGCACGTGGTATAAGTCTGTGGTCACCTAAGACAGAACAAGGACATTTGAAACCAAGGATGTCAGATACTCAACCCTTAACAAGAAACACACTCAGTCCCAGTCTGACGGGTTTCACAATCTCCCTGAATGGAAATTGAAAGATACAAAACATAAAAAGTTTATAATGTAGTCAATTTTGTAAAAACTTGAGCAAAAAAAAAATCATCTTACCTACCAAGTGCTCAAAAATCAACCATAGAAAGAAAGTTAATTTAATTTACTTTAAGTAATTTATCAAGCACTGTTGCTATATTTGAAGCTTAATTTTTATGACAATTTCCTGCCTTCATGTGTTCTCTATTATGATTCTATATTAAACATATGTGGGGTTTGATTAGTTAGTCAAATAACATTCAATTATAAATCGATTGGTGCAGCATTATATACTGTGCATTGTAGTGTGATTTTATTTGCAGTGTTTCTGACTGGCCAACAGATGGCAGCATTGTACTGTGATCTGAAAACAGACAACTTCTGGATTTGATTTAGGGTAAAAAATGTCACAACAACTCTGAGCTCAGTTGGTGTTCTTCTCACAAGTGTTACCATCCATGAGAAGAGATGATGAATAAGACTGTGGAAATCGTGTCCTTAACTGACCAAACTGACTGTGATTAAAATGTTTCCCTTTTAAAGATGAGAACAGCCTGTTCAATCCTGACATGCATTCTTGCCTCAAAGGCACTCCTGCAGAGCAGATGTCGAAAACCCAAAATACCCTAGCTGAAGGACTGTGCAGCCATGATACCTTCTTACATGGCAAAGGAAAAAATGACTCAGCCTCTTTCAGAAAAAAAAAAAAAAAAAAAAACAGTCCTTCAAAATGTGCATGCATTAGGGTGATACACATCTCTGAGTTTGATGCAGAGAAGATAGCAAGAATGCACTTGAGCAGATTTAAGTAGTATTACTTATCTCAAACACACTTGACATTTCTAAGTACGTTTCTGTATTTGTTTGTTTATAAATTGGCTGAATATGTTATCTTAAGCAACTAAATTCGCTCTTGAATAAAGTGACAAACTGCTGAGGATATACTGAGCAGATTTGAGTGCAGTACCTGGATGCAGTCTGGTACTCCTGTGCTGTCCATCCGACTGGCCACATTCACTGTGTTCCCCCAGATATCATACTGGGGTTTCCTGGCTCCAATCACCCCTGCTACAACCGGCCCCATGTTTAACCCTAAGAAAATATCACCAGCAGTTACCATGTAAGTAGATTACACAGTTCCCCTTTGACTGAGTTATAAGATGTTGGAACCAGAACCCAGGCTTACCTATCTTCATCTGGAAGTTGTTGAAGGAGTGTTCATTGATGTATTTCATCTGCTCCCTGAGTCTCATGGCGTAATCGGCCAGAGCTAAGATGTGTGAGCGACCCTCTCTGTCGTAGGTGGAGTCATTGAGGCCAGAGGCTGCCATGTAGGTGGAGCCAATGGTCTTGATTTTCTCCAGCTGACGGAACCGTTCTTCGCTGATGATCTAGAAATTAATAATCGAAAGCGTATATGGAAAGGAAGTGCAACAAGAGCAGTACATCAGCTACAGGATATCAGCTTTATGAGTGTCAGAACACACACAAAACAGGAAAAAGGTGATTGATTTACTCTGCATTCATCTTTTTCTCTCACATTTTTCTCTTCTCACCTCGTCAAAATCGGCGATGATCTCATTGAGCAGTCTGAGGCACTCCACCCCCTCGTTGTTAGCCTCCAGCTCAACGTAAAACTCTGAAAAGTTGCTGATGGAGGCAAACATGACAGCGACACACTCACATGACTGGTAGTACAACTCGTCATTCCGACGCTCCCGTGCTAGAAAGTGGGCGGCTACATCCTTGGGCAGGATGTTGTGAAGCAGGCGGCGATTGTAGGCCTGCAGCTCTTCCATCTCCTCCTTCTCCTCTGTGGCCTGAAGGTGGATGGGAGGAGGGGGGAAAAGTGGCGCATTATTATTTTTTTGTCATGTGAGTAGATCATTGAAGTAGTCTGTTGCCTCAGTGACACAAAACTAAATTGGCTGAATTCCATCTTGCTTCTCCGTCAGGGCCACTGTCACACTTTAATGGCTTCCTTTGACACTAGAATACAATAGACTCATCCCCAAAGTTATTACTAACTCCTTTAAAAAACATCCAGTGCCTCTGCCAGATTTGTTATGTTTTTTTCCTCCTGTGATACAGTTTGTCTGTTTTTCAGTCTGCTGGATTACAATACATTAGGATGTGTGACACTTTCTTGACTCCAGAGGTGCACACATTTAGCTGCCTCTACAGATCTCCTAAATAAAAACAATAAAAACAAACAACAATCAAAGCAATCCAGACGCAAATAGAAGCACATACCAATGACAACCACAAACAACAGATTTGCACAATAACCACATGTTCCGATGTTAACACAGCATTAATAAATCCAGAATTATCTGGATTTATTAAAGAGCTTACTCCATAAATTAGCTCTTGTGTAAAATGTGTTTGTTGTTTGTATGTGCTTGCAAGTTTAGCAGGATTCATAAACCTGTTTGACTGGTGTGGTTTACTCCATTTTTTGATAAGTCATAAAGGTTGCGGTTAAAAGGGTTTGAATAATAGTGGCTTTAGTTTTTGTTTTTTTAAATCACACAAAACAGTTTCCTTTACCTGCAGCTTCCAGAGGAAGTCAAGGCGTGCAGTGGACTCCACCTGCTGGCCGTGCAAATAGAGAGCCAGAACAAACACTGTGAGAATTATCGGGGTCAAGACCTTAAGGGGCACCTTGGTCACGGTCTCCAGGCTGAGGAGGGAAATAGGAGATGATGAGAAAAATCAATGATTGTGTTGCCTAGGAGTGAAATGTTGCAACCATAAGCATTTATATATCATGCTATAATTGAGAGCTTCTCACCACTGTTCAGCAGTTTCATTGGAACGAGGCCTGGAAAAAAAACACAAGAGGAAGTCACATCAATAGATCATATGGGTCATTGAAATAAGGTAGGGAAATACAAAGTAACACAACTTACTGTTGTTGGGAAATATTAGAGACTTGCCTGAGGGGAAAAAAGAGAACATTAAAGTAGGAGTAGCGCCCAACTGGTGAACAAGAAAGTAGGTGTTTTGAATTGTTTACCTTATTGTAAAAAAGTAGGACATGTTTATTGTAAACTACAGTATTGTGACACAGTCGCTGAACTACCCAGGTTGAATATTAGGAAACACTGAGTGTACATGTATGTGTGTGTCCCTGTAGGGCACTCACAGGGTGTTCAGGGCACGAACCAGCAGGTCTGCATTGTCAAACAGGACAACCTGAGGCCACTCCACCAGAAGAAGAAAAGTGAGCTGGATGAACAGCATTAATGCCAGTTTCCCAATGCTGCTGATGTGGAGGAACACAGAGCAGGCCAGCAGGGTCAGCAGTACGCTGTAGCTGAAATACTGCAGCACAGAGGGGACAGCCGGTGTGGAGGAGGAGGCCAAAGTTAAGGAGAGTATTCAAACATACTTTTAATGGATACAGAAACAGACTAAATACAAAAATCCTTAAATGTCATGTGACTGACCTCGGGGAAATGGCAGGTCGTGTCCTCCTGGTTGGGACACACGATCAAACCGTCCTTTGCTGTCTTGGTCAGGTTGTACAGCAAACAGTTATTCATTGGTGTGTTCAGCTCCAAACACGCATTCAGATTCTCTCTGTAGCAGGTAAACTGGAGGACAAATGAAGACAAAGAATGACATTTAGCTATCTCCAAATTAGGGTGACATGGCGAAATACACTGCAGAAAAAGAATTTATACTAAAATCAAATAGCCCCAATATTGAAACATAAACATGCTTTATTTTTGTCATCAAACAGAAATAGAGCCTTCTTTGATAAAGTTCCCTTGGACACATATCTTTGAATACTTGTGGTAGAGATATGAACCTTTTATTTTTTAATAAAAATGTAAAAAAAAAAAAAAAAACACATTTGATGGCTTGGTAGAAGGACGTGAGGTTTCACTTGCATGTTTTTAACTGCATCATGACTTTTAACACTGTACTGGCTGTTTAACTAGTTGAAAGTGATTCGGACCTAAGATACGTGTTTTAACTGTGACCTGCCAAGGCACTGCAGATGTAAATTAGATCAAGGCCAACTCTGGTACAGTGCATGGTCCCTTAACAAATAAAATCAATAAAATCAAATAAATTGTTTGTTTTAGCTGTATATATATATATATATATACACACACACACACACACACACACACACACACATATATATAAAATGCTAACAATGAATACTTAAAGGTCACATATTTTCCTCCTTTTCAACCAATTTTCAGAGGTCCCCAAAACATTAATGGAAATTTCTTGTTAAAAATCCACTCCGATTGTGTATTTTCGCATGCTTATAAACCCCTCTCTTTCAGTCCTGCTCAGAACGGGCTGTTTCTGTGTTTATAGCTTTAAATCTAAATGAGCTGTCCCTCTCTCTCTCTCTCTGTCACACTCCATGACCGACTGTTTACAGAGAAGGCAGACCCTGAGGGCAGAAGAAACACCTCGCTGTGGGAGAGCCACCCACCAGGGGGGAGGGGTTACTGCCCTTTGTGATGTCACAAAGGGGAAAATCTCCAAACGGCCTGTTTGAGCACACAAGTGGAGCAGGCACAAAACGGAGAGGATGGACTTTTCTCACAGTAAGGGGGTTTGTAGACTGACTACGGACACGTATTCACAATCAGAAGAATCAGAAATAGCTTCATTGGCCAGGTATGCTTACACATACAAGGAATTTGACTTAAATATTAGTGTTAGAAAAACATGGTAAAGAGTATTTTGTGTAATATGGGACCTTTAATATAAGAAAGAAATTTAAAAGATTTGGTTTAAAAAATAAGCTAATTTTGACAACCTCATACAAACTTAACATTATCTGCTATAGAGAACAAACCAAATGATGTATTTCTGTAGGCCAACCCTGAAGTAGCAGCACCATGGGGTCTATTGAGAATTCGCCTATGGGATTTTTTCATTGGATTTTGGATCTTTGCAGAAAATAAGTTCTGTGGCAAACACATATTGTGATGCGTAGGCGTTTTGGATAATCTTCACAAATGAACACCATTTTTATGATGTTTGAAGCGTTACTGCAGCCAACAGAAGTAAAAAGCTAACGTTATGCTCTAGAGAACTACACCAGGGTCGGATGACTTTGACGTCACTACCGTTATGCTTCGGACGATTTCCGATAAGCTAATCAGCGTAACTTAATAAATTGTTTAATTAACCTATTTGCCTTAACCCAAAGATTAAACATACAGGAGACATCACGGACTAGTGAGAGAGTTCCCGGCGTTTGTATCCGGTGTGATGATTTTAATGACCCCGACAACCACTGTAGTCTCATCTAGCCATTTGTTAGCAACCGCCTTTTTAAGGACGCGTAAAAAATTCAAATTTCACAATGGGGAGTATTACCTAACAGAGTTTATGTTGTCTAACAAAACGGGAACATCTCGTAAGCTTCAGTTAACCACAGACCCATTCAAAATCCCCATTCAGTTTGAGAGGATAGACTCCATGGCGCTAAAATGCTAACTTAATTGCAGGTTTTAGGATTATAGGAATTTTCTTTCTTTCTTTTTTTAAAAACAAAAACAAAAACAGGATGCTGCAACATTTATTGAAAAACTCTCAAAAAGATTGGTGACATCTGAGGTGAAGTTTGTGAATAATTAATCACATTTTCATAGACCCTTGACTTGATTTCATTTTTGGGGAACAGTATAAAACAAAACATTACTACCACAACATGATAAAAAGATGTCAAAAGAGCTGTAGCACCTACCATGTTTGCAAAGGAGGAAATGAAGAGGAGGAGGATGGTGAGGACACCCACCAAAGTGCTGTGTGCACGAGACTGGACAATCTTCTTGGTAAGAGTCTGCAAGGCATTTGGGAAGAGCTAGAACGGAGAAAGAGAGGAGGAGATCAGTTAGCATTAATACCGTCAGTGGTACTGGCTGAAGACATATGATACCAATTCTTATCTGAAGGTATCTGCACAGATATTTTGAGTTGTCAAGGCTTTTGTTTCTTACTTTGATGCAGGAGTAGATGGCACTGATGAAGAGAATATTGGCAAGGATGATGAAGATGGTGATGTAAAGGCCGAGCATAACTTTTGTCCTGTGAAAGACAAGAAAAAAAACAGATTTGTTAAGACGCTCATCTCTCATTTAACTCCTGATGAACTAAAACCAAATTTCCTGTGCACAAATCAGTAGAATAAGGAAAGTAGAGGCGACCTATTGGAGAGAGCTACTCACTTTGGGAAAATGATAATCTGGATGAAACAGATGCAGCAGAAAACAAGGAGTATACAGGCCACGTATCCTCCAAAACGATCATCGATCTTTTTGGAGTACTGCAAAGGGAATATCAATGCAAAAATAAATGTTCTTATAGCTCAAATAAAGTGAAAGAATCATTTCAGAATTACATTTTTCATGAACTCCAGTGAAAAACCAACCTTTTTCTCGAGGTCGGGTGTCTGAAATGTGAGTAGGAATTTCTTGACATGGTCCTTCCTCAGCTGGTTGATGCTACGCGCATCGATGGCCCGTCCAAGAAACTCATCCACCTCATCCTCGGGGTTCAGGGCCTCCTGAGCACAGCGGCTATGAGGGAAAAGATTAATAGGTCAATGTGTGTGTGTGTGTGTGTGTGTGTGTGTGTGTGTGTGTGTGTGTGTGTGTGTGTGTGTGTGTGTATGAGAGAGTTGGCCTAAGCTGTGACAGGCAGGATGACTCAGAGTTAATGTGGCATCAGTGCTGTGTTGGATTTGACCATATAAAATCAACAGTGGGCTCTGAAGTCAGACTGCTACAGTGACAGCCTGCCAGTCAACCACTAATAACAAAAGCTGATTTGGTAACAAGGACCGAGGCCAAAACACTCACTTGTCTTTGCTGGATGCTTCATCGATGCCCTGAGAAAAAAAAACAGAATTAGAAGATGACGCCAAAACACAGAAATGAAAGAGAAATAGACAAAAGGAGGTATTATTGAGCAGCCACGGTACATCTGAAAAATAGACAGAGACTCAGACATCTGCACAGCTAATCCCTGAGAGCCAGACTGATGTTTTAATTAATGCTCGGAGGCTTCAAATTACACCCTTGTTGCCCCCAGGGCTCAAACCCTCTGAGATGGAGAAAACTAAAGGCGGAGGAGAGGGAAGAATGTAGGAAAGAGGCGGAAATGAGACATGTAGCATAGAAAGAGGGAGGAAGTAAGAGCGAGTGAGTTAAGAGACATATCTGCAGTTGCAGCCACATCAGATTAGCTTCAGAGGTAAAGGGGGAACAGAGAGTTCAGAGGGGGAACAGGGAGTTCCTTGGAATCCTGTAATAACTCCTGTATGTTTCACCAGAACAGATCAATACGTCTCTCACATCCTCATTGTCTGCTCCAGGCCTTAGCATATTTACAGTTCTGTACAAACTTGTCACTTTGAGACAGTTTATTCATATTTGTAGAGCAACTCACTTATTTAACTTTGAGGAAGTCTGAAAGAAACAAGTTTATACATCCAAGCTAGCAAACTATGTGAGCCTGATTTTAGGTGACGTTCCTACCAATCAAAGTGCTTCCATGGTAACAATGTGCATGTTAAAGATATACCATGTTACTCTATTGTGTTAACATGATAATATTGCTATTTTTATGTTAAGAAAGTAAATTTAAAGTAGGTAGCCTTTACAAACATCACATAGGAACATCGTGCAGAGAGAAAAACAGCAGCATGAAAAAATAACAAACCTTATGAGGACCATTAGGGTTTGACTTTTCATCATTTAACTTTTTGTTAGTTAGTGGCCTTGTCTCTTTTTCTTAAGACTGTATATTGGAAATATAATTTCTGAAAAGCTGAGAAATTCAAAGAAAAGAAGAAGGCTTTTAATGAGACAAAGGCATGTGTAGATTCCCTAAAAACTGATCTTTAACTACTCTGGTGATGGGAAATGTATCTTAAAAATAGCTCAGGAATTATTGATTAGCTGCTATAGTTCCTGCTAAGGTCTGCTGACAGCACTAAACACAGAGTGCAGCTACAGATTTTTTACAATGATTTATTTATATTAAGTTTACAATTAAAGTATTTCACAAACTGAAATGATCGCTGTATCGAGTTATTAGTCCACAATAACTATCATAACAGTCAATGTACTCCATTCAATAATAGTTGAGCCATTTCAAACATGAGAAGAAATGAAATGAGTATCAAATGTGTTGTTGTTAAGTTGGTCGTAATTTCACCCTAAAAATAGACTTCTGACCCTGAAAAATAAATGTCAAGAAATATGAATTCAAAGCTACTTGAAGGTCACATATTCTCCTTTTCAACAAGTTGAAGTAAGACTCAGAGCTCCCCATTCTTAGCATGTTTATAAACCCCTCTATTTCAGCCCTGCTCAGAGCAGGCTGTTTCAGCGTATATAGCTTTCCCGCTCCATGCCCAGTTGTTAACAGTGACAAAGCAGACTCAGAGGACAATTCAACTCCTAGCTGTGGGAGTGACACCCACCTGGGGGAAGGGTTACTGCCTTTGTGATGTCACAGAGGGAAAACCTCTACATGGCCTGCTTGAGCACACTTTTTCTGAAAATTGGAGCAGGCAAAAGACGGACAGGATGGACTTTTCTTATAAAAGGGGGGTTTGTAGACAGACTAGGGACACATATTAGTGTTTAAAAACATGGTAAAGTGTATTTTACATAATATGTGACCTTTAAGGGAATCATTTAAAAGAATGATAATAATTTGGCTTCAGTGAATTGAGAGGAAGCCGCAGGATTTCAGATATAGACAAGAAGAACAGTTGCTTGTTTAAGTGCTCCCTGTGTGTATCCCACCATCTGCCTGAAGACTTTGGATTCCTTGGTTCTGGAGAAGGATCTGTCAGGCACCCAGCGTGGCATCAATCCCTCGGCAGAATTTGCACGTGCTCGCTGCATCTTGGCCAACATGGCTTTCTCCTCTTTCTGGAAGTGAAGAAACCCCACAGCGTTAAGTGCTTTGAGAAACAAGGTCTTCAATGCCAGGTGACAAGACATTATATTGTGTGTGTGAAATATGGCACCAGTGTGACATTCATAGGAGGTCAGGCATGTAAATGGGTCGCGTGTGTGTGTTTGTATGTGTGACTTTGCACTAACCCTCTTCTGGCTGCAGCCCAGCACCAAGAAGGTTTCAATGTTGTTCTCCTTAAGGTATGCATTCCTCTCTCCTCCAAACCCCGACTCCACCTCGTAGTCTTCGTTCAGATACTGCAGTGTGGCCTTTGTGATGTGGATACGCCTAGCAGACGAACACGCAAACACTGTGTCAAAAACTGCACAAGACTCTGGAAGCCTACACCAGTTCAGTGGCAGGTTGAGTAGGCGGGACTTACCCAGCCTTCCCTCCGGCCTCCATTTGGTTGGCAAGCGTCACATCATTGGACCACACATCAAACTGCCACTTGCGAAGGCCAAGCACCCCGCAGTGAACTCGCCCACTGTGGATGCCCACCCTCATGTTCACATTCACGCCTGTCACCTCTCTCACCAGCCTAAAAATACACACACACACACTGATGTTAGAAAAAACTCGAGCAAGCTTTAACTTGAGGGTCTCTTCTATACTCTTAAAAAACAAATGAATACACTTTAACTTCACCTTCACTGGGTGTGCATGCTTGTTGTGATTGAGTTGTTCTTTGTGTATTTTTTTGTGCATTAAAGTGTTTGACTCACGAGATGGCCTCAATCATGTCTACTCCCATCTCCACACAGCAGTGGGCGTGATCAGCCCGTGGCTCAGGCAGCCCTGACACACAGTAGTAACAGTCCCCAAGGATTTTTATACGAAGGCAGTGGTTCTCCTGTGCAGCGACCACACACAGAGACACACATGCAAACACTTAGAATATTAGTTATTTTACAGCATGGTACAGCATACAGCTTTTGAAGCACTGATATAGTTTTGGGTTCATTATCAGTGTCAGTAAACTTTAAAATGTTTAAGTTAAATCATGCTTGCTTTGTTGTAATAACACGGTCTGCTGAAGGTTGGATGGTTACATTATTAAGAGTGGTTTTGTTGTATTTCTGGTGTGAAAATGGAGACGGCAGGTTGTCAGTGCTCACCGAGGCCAGCTTGTCGAAGCGGGCGAACAGCTCGTTCAGCGTCATGACCAGCTCCTGCGCCGTGCACTGAGACGCAAGGCTGGTGAAGCCCTCGATGTCTGCAAAGAGTATGCTACAGGAGAGGAGGTAGTGGAGGAAGAAGACAAAGAAGACATCAAATGAGATCAATCAATGAAGTATAGAGTTCACTGTTTCCCCGCAGCGCTTTAGAGTCAATGCGGTCGCCTTAACAAAACAGGATTTCGCCTTAACTACGCCCATAGTTTGGGCCGATCGTGATATGCGGAAACTTTTTTCTGTTTCATGTCACTGGGTCTGTGTCAGGCATCAGCTGATGGTTAGGGGTGACAACAATCAGAAATGAATTGTCAGTAAAGTAACAGCCTGCTGGAGTCTGTAGCTGCAAACTTAGACGAATAAAAACGGTTACAGAGCGCTGCCTTTGGTTACTGGATGTAACTCCAATTCTATAAGTGCGTAGCCCTCTAGATGGCTTCGCTATGGGTCTTGTTACAAACACTGTTAAAATGATGCAGCATTTCATATTACAGTCAGTTGTACTCCGATTTAAAAAAAAAAAAAAACCCTTCTAAACAAAAGGGAGTTCAGGTTTATCTATTTGCTTTCATTAATGTTATTATTAATACTTTTAATTATTTATTTTTGTCTATATGTTGTGTAAAAACACACAGTGTATGCTTCGTTTTAGTTTTGTATTTATTTTGTGTTTAATTTACAACAACCAACAAGCCAGCTACCACATTAACTAGCACAGTTCCTGCGGGAAACACTGGAGTTAGTCAGTGTCGTACAGCGCCTCTCTACTTCCTAACCATCAAGCTGCCGTGTGAGAAGCTAAGGGAGGGAGGCTGACCTTAGTTCAGCTCTGGCTCTCACCATCTAAGCCGATGTAGGTCACCTCCTCCAGACCATCCTTCTGAGAACTCCACCTCCCCTCTCCCCCTGTCTGCATGCCTTGTATTGCTAACTTTTGATAGTATTGAAAGACTAAGATAACAACAACAACACCAGTACCAGTTAAGGGTGACAGATGGCGCTGCTGGTCCTATGCGGTCATCCATTTGGAGAGAACGTTTTTTTAATTACAGCATCCAGAGCCTGTCTGCATTTCTTAGCCTGACCAAGACTGTGAGCCATGATGCAACAGAATGTCGTTAAAGTCTCACTCCACACAAATCACAAACACCAAATGTTTGTCATAATCGATCATGATCATAAATATATCAGGCAGAAAAACTACCACTTGATGTGCCTGCCTCCAAGTCATGTAAAAGAAGAGTTTCATTCACACCTATTGTGATGGTCTTGGACTGAGTGTAATTGTAAACAAAGGCCTGTTTTGCAAACATATGGATGTAAACACCCTCAACAGGATAAAAAAAAAAATCATAACTAAGATTTAGGTGTCTGATGTTGATGTCTTTACAAAATGCATAAACTTGGGACAAAAACTGTGGGCCTGATTCAATAAGAATGTGCCAGGCTGTTTATAGTTCCAAAAATTGTGCATCATTGTTTCCGGCTACCTGCTCTGTCTCAGGGTCTAATTCACAAGGCAGATAATGGTTATGATATTCAGGTGCAAACACGCCCCAAAATTGTCCTACACTATGCAGTTTGTTTCTCTTGTTTAGTGTGTGAACATGTTTTGTCCAGATAAAGATTGATTTCATTTCATTTTTTTATTTTTTATTTCAAACATGTTTTAAAAATAAAATAAAAATATACATTTAAAACAAAGCAAACAGCAATCAAAGCATACTTTCTGTAGTGGCTCGATTTTTTTTTTTTTCCTTAACCTGTCCATGTTCGAAAAGGGTGAAGGATGAAGTTAAATAACTTATCCAGTCCCACCCCTTTTATCTTTTTAGCTTAATAAATTAATCCAAGTCTAAGCTCTACAAAATTAAGTCAATGAATACAGATAACTAAGTAACTAAAGCAACAGATATAATGTATTACACACATTAATTGGTAGACAGTACAGACCTTACAACTGATATCAATTCCATTTTTCCCAGATGATGAGCAGGAGGGGAGGGGGAAACTTTTAAACTTTTCATTGATGGCAGACTTGAAAAATTTGATACGGGTTAACCTTTCAAAACAAAGTTTCATCTCTGCATGGAGCAAGCAAGGGCATTTTGGGGGGGAAAAAAAAAACTACTTGCACCCTCGTGCGTAACAACTCAAGCCTGTCGCCCAAAGGGGCCAATTTTTCCCTAAATGACTTATTTAAATAAATGCAACAAGCACTGGCACACCAAGACGCTTTTTGCTCTCCAGCGCAGTTAGGGGGTGCATTCAACCTATTGCATGTGTTTTGTGAATTAGATGGTGTCTTTTGGATTCATCTGCACAGGCGTGGCAGACGTGAAAAACCGAGCAAGCTTTTGTGAATCATGTCCTGTGTGTTTAAATCTTGTGCTTTAGTTGGATACTGGCTTAATCCTGTAAGTTTACAACTTGTTGTTCAGAGGTAGTCCTACACAGGAGGTGATATCCAGCGATGAGGGCTGACACAGGGGGCCAGCAAACTTGAGGTTTTTCCTCCTGTCATTTGCTACACAGAGAACAGCAGTGGGTCTGAGTCAATATCTTTACCGCCGCTGTCAGTGTCAATAAACAACAACATGCATAATACATGCTGGCAGGGAAATAGCTGTTTGAGTGACTCTGTAACTGACACATCAGTCAACGGCGTGAGGTCAAAGCCGCTAGTGCAAAGAAGACAAGCTCGCGGAAATCGTGTGCGTTAGTGCTTGCAGGAACATGAACGTGTGTTTATCTGTTTACCTAACATTGTCGTGTTTTTGGATGTAGATCTTGTGGAACATCATATCTTCCTTCTTGGCATTGATATCAGCCTTCATTTCCATGGCAACGTGCCTGGGCAGCACTGACAGCAGCAGGCGCTCCTGAGAGAGAGAGAGACAGAGGGAGAAATTAAAGACAGAAAGAGAGAGAAAAGAGCGAGGGGGAGCCCATTCATTTTCATCAGTTTGTACTGTTAAGAATGCTCAATGAGTCACTCTGCCTTGTTGGCATCTGCGTGGGAACGTGTTAGTCAAATAGAGAGGACTAGAGATACGTGTTACACTTCAGAACATATTGTTGGACTTTAAAACTGAGTGAAAAGAATTTGACTAGGAAACGGAGACACCCATTTGTTGCTTTTTGCATTCGTTTATGGGTTCAGTTTTCCTTTTTTTTTTTTTACAGGACGCGGGAAAGGCTGCGCCTCTCGCTTGTTTGTTTGAGAAAGCATGTGTCTGTGAGTATGCATGTTTGTCAGAGCATATGCGTTGGCGGGTGTGTACCTGCTGCTGGTTTTCCCTCTGCAGGTGCAGTCTGGCCTGGATATATCCTCTCGTCTCCTGGAAGGCTTGTCTCTGGGAAACCTCAGCAGGGTAGTGCGTACAGATCCCGATCATATTGGTGCACAGGAAAATCAGCACGTTGGCACTGATCTGTAAACATCACAACGACACACACAGATACATGACAGACAGAAGAAATAGATGAGACAAAAAAAAAAAGAAGAGGTGAGAGTCCCACCAAACATGCATATGTCACATCACAAGTACAAAGTGAACTCTGCCTGACCTGGGAGTTGTCAATAAACAAAATTGATAACACTCTGTGTCATAGGATCTACTGCAAGGGGAAAAATTCCTCAAACGTCTGAGGAGCCATTAGATGTGATCTGGTTAGAAATGATGACCGTGGCCTTGTGGCTGCTCTGCAAGGGGACATTTTTGTCATGTTGCGCTCTGAACAGCAGAAAACAAGCCCAGGGGGTTCAATGTGCATGTGCATGAGTGGGGACACGTGAAGTCAGTGTCCCTCATGTTTTTAATTTTCCAGAGCTGAAAGTTTGAGTAGTTTATGAAATACATTCAAGAGAGAAAAAACAAGGCAGTTTTATTGGGAATGTGACATTATACATTTTTTTTTTTTCCAAGACAAAAAAAGATTACATGAGCCTGCACCTTTTTTTTCTCCACTGGATCCATTTCTATGATTTAAAGCAGTGCAAGAAAAAATTTCAAACAACTGGTGGAAATTTGAATGTATAGCTTTAGAAAACATTTTGCACTCAAAGTACTGATTCAAAGTGTTTACAGGTGTAAAATGAAAGGCTCCTCTAAAAGGTCATATACCTCTACCTTTGTACAGTCACAATGTATTATAACTTTATGATCTCCCACCATGAACAGACAGCACATTGTTGTCTCTATTATCTTCAGCAATGTCTGAGACAATTAAAACTGAGCAGATCATTGACTGAGTAAGAACACAAACATATACCCATAGTGCCTTGATCTAAATGACTCGGAGAGACTTCCTATCTTGTCTGATATGACTAGAGCACAACCGATTAATCGACCAGCCGATAATATTGACCAATATTTGCTTATCTAATGACTATCGGCATCAGCTCATTTTGTCGCAGATATAACTAGATTTATTTACGTATCAAATAGCATTCCATCTGAGTGTTATTGTATTACACAAGCGGTTCTCTTTCTGGCTGCCACCAGCAGAGTGTGCTATATGAATTAAAACAAGAAAAATCACTCTCCAGTGTCAAGCGGTGATGCACGTACATGCGCAGTTACATTCTAATTGAGTGATCATTTTGTCTTCATTATATATATCAAGTGTTTGATCCACATTTGAGCGATAAAGCAATAAATGTGCATATCTATATCTATCTCTACATATTTCATAGATCTAAGAAAGATATCGACCAATATGTAATTATCAGATTTTTTTCACTCCTCAATATCGATATCGGCCCCAAAAATGTCATATCAGTCGGGGCCTAGATAAGACAAATAATGAATGAAGTTTGCAGTAATGTCGAATGTTCTCGTAACCCCACCATAGCTCCATTGTTTTACAAACTGAGTTTTATTGTTAGTTCTATTATGATTGTATAGTTTGGGTTTAGAAAAGCTGTATTTATGCAGCCATGCTGATAAAGCTAGTTGAAATTGAAATGTAATAGTGGCGAGAAATAGAAGATTCCATTAACATAACTTTCTTGTGTGTACCAAGTGCTGTGAGTGTGCTGGCTGAACAATGCAGAAGCACAAACACTAAAAGAGCATTATCTGTAGCTTAAGTAAATGAAATTCAGATATAGTGTTCTGTACAGTTAGCTCAGGGTCATAGACCTTTAAAGCATTCCTCTGCACTGCTCCAGCAGCATTCAGTGTGTGCCTTTTGTGTTTTTAGATGTGTGTGGTAAGCCAGCATGTAAGTATGTTAGTGATTTCTCTGCTTGCTTTTTCACAGCAGAAACTCAACATTAGAAATGGAGCCTTGAGCTCTGGACTTTCCCTCCGCTCATGCACACGCTCACATACACAAACACACATGAACACGCACACATACACATCCTGTACATGCTCAGAAACACACTCCAGCCTGGGAAAGTCACTTGACCCATGACCAGAGCACAGAGTGCTTCCTCTGAAGATGATATCATGAATTATGAGAAAAAAACATGCAAGCACAGTACACACATAAAAACAACATTTCAATAAATCTTATTTGCAGCATTTTCAATAAACTGGATGACATGAAAACTCCAGTACCAGTATTTTTGAACCATGGCTGGTATGTTGCCAAACCACTGTGTCTGTGTGCATGTTTGTAATGCGTGTTTTAAAAAAGAAAAGACAGCAGAAGAGAGATGAAAAACTGTAGATAGAGGATGTTATCAGTAATCAGTAATCATCACTGAAGATTTTCATGTCCTTGTCCTTTTAAAATAAAAACAGTAAAGTACAAACTAAGCATTTGCATCTTGATCAAAAGTAGCTTCAAAAACGCACCCTTAAGGATTTCCACGACTGTCCTGAGATCAGGTTTGGACTGTATACACACAAGAACTCTTCTTCTGTTGTCACAACATGAGAGAGACAATTTAACAACCTGTGCTTGAAACAGAACACCATTACCTCAGGACAGAGTCAGGCAAATACCACTGTTTATTCCAAAGAGAGTCGCTGTTAGCTTTGTATTCCACCTGGAAATAAATGGCCAACCTAGATTAAAAGCTCAGCAGTAAGCAAAAACTGAACACACTGATGTTTGTAGGTGCAGAGGCAAGCATGTTTTAATGTATTTGGGTAAATATAAATCTCTGTAACTGGTGCAGCCAGAGCGCAACATCTGAGCATCCAAAATTCATTCTCATTTTTTATTTCTGAGGGATATAGACTGATCCCTCACAAAGGTTTTCAGGATGGAACAAGAAGCAGTTTTTCCTGGACTCCTTGAAGCAGTTTGACAGAATATTTTATGTGAGGTTGAAAAGATTCAGATCAAAACCACAAAGAGATAAGAGACACTTCTTCATCCGGCTATGTGTGCAAACCTACCAAGAGTTTCCAACCTTGTTCCATCGCTCAATAGGTGATAAATCCATCGTTTTAATAAAATCACTGATATGCTACGGCTTTCTGATAAGGATCCTGATGCAGTAAACAACCACTGTACACCTCACCCACCAATCTTGAGGGTCCTCTGATATAACCTGATCACATTAATCCCAAACAGATGGCTCTGAACAGAGAGCGCCGGATAACCAAATTAAGTGGCCTGTCTGAGTTACCCTGCCACCTGCAGTTCCCAGGACCACGCCACAATACACTCAATTCGGTTTCCCATGTGGGCACTCTGAGATTGTAATCAGAGAAACGACTGTCTTCTATCAAATTGATTTTAAGAATTTGGCAACAAATTAAGAGTGAGTTTAGACGCAGTTTAGGAGGTACCCCTTTTTTGTAGCGGGGGAGGGTGGGAAAACACGAACTAGTGCAGTGATAGCATTGATACACAGCTGTTAACAAATGTGACACACACGTTAATATCCCCCAAATATCCCTCAAGCAGATAGGCCTGCACAATGAAATAAAAATAACCAAAGTCTAAGAACAATGTTCAGTTTTATAATAATAACTGTATGAAGTGCAAGAAATATACAAATGTTAAAGAATACATATGAGCAATAACTCAGTTTGATGTCTATCTGCTGTTCATGTTTTACAGAATGCCCATGTTGGAAAAAATATCCCTCTTGAAACCAAAATAATCCAAAAGGTTCCACTAATAAATTGGCACCAGTTATTCCTGAAGCATCTGATAGCTACAATCTGACTGCATCAAAAGGGTGTGATGGCATGGCCATTATGCCCAGGTCTCTCAGGAATATGTTAAAATGTATACATGCAGAGTGAGAATGCAGTGCATACGAGTTATTTGAATGAAATGTTTTTCTTATTCATTGTAATCAATTCAGACTGTTGGGATGTGTTTATTGAAAGTTGTCATATCAGGATAACAATGACATTGTGATTGATTGAACAGCCCCGACAGGTACAGCACATTTGAGTTAAGTATGATTAGAGCTGAACCACAATTAACTGACTACATCCCGAACGCTCTATAAATGTAGCTCTGAAAATGTGAGATATCATTGCTAAGCAAAATAAGCTCGCTTTAATTCCGAGTTATGCTTAGTCACCACACGTTTTGGAGATTAGAAGCAGAATCATTTGCAGAGGCTTTTGAATAAATCGTATGTGGTGTGTGAGAGACTCCTTTTCGACTGGCAGCTCTTTGATGCTGAAGCTTGTTCTAAGGCTATAGTATTCATATCAACCACACAAAAATCTCCAAACAGCCTTGTGGTGGAAAGAGCGCAAAGGAAGCTTCTCTTCATTAGCATACTGCACACTCTCTCTTCTCCAAGCTTGACTTAAAGTATCTACCCCTGATCATTCCTGCTGCAGACTTCCAGCTCTCACAGATGATCTTAACTCGTCATTTATTTAAGCAGGAACCTCTTGGCTGCAAAGTCAAAAGGAGGCCAAACATTGGCTTATAAGGTGCAGCTCTCTGCAAGGTGCTTCATAAAGACAAGGTAGGCTGATAACATTTTAGAGAATGATTTCAGGAAAGGGATGAGAAAGGTTTTACTTACTAAACATGGCCTACAGAAAACCCATTATGAATTAAAAGAGGAACTGGTGATTTATAATCTGACAATACAGCAGGAGGAGGTAAACTACATTGTACATTATAATCAATGTTTGGATTTATCCAGCAGTATTAGAAGAGGCCTGCAGTGAAAGATTAAATTCAGATCTCAAACCAACCATGAGCTCTACTAAAGCCGAAGTTTAAACTTTAAAAAGGCCAGAGTTCTACATCCCATAAGTCAACACACAGGCTCTGGGGACACTGAGTGCTGTTGACATGGGGGTTCCTCTCCAGCTCATGACCTACAGGCATCGAGAGATGTCTGACAGAAACAAATGTCAAAGCCTCATCAAACACTGCTGATATTAGCCTGAAAAGATAACATGTGGAACCAGAAAGGTAAAATAGAAAATACTACGAGACCGTGTTGCACTTGTCCTGATCCATTCAAGGTTACTATAATATTAAAAAA